GCTGGGGGATCCCAGGGGGAGCTGGGATGTGAGAGGAGGGAGGAGCCTAGAGACCTAAAGCAGTCTTGAATCGAGTCCGGACCCACGACACTGGAAATAAAAAAGAAAGCAGGTGTTTGCGTCCTTGTCATGCTTTGGTTTGTTCAGGGATTTGCTGGTGTGAGGTGGAATCGAAAGGATCTGCTCATAGTTGGTATTTAAAAATTAAGTAAAACTAGTTTAGGGCACAGTGGTGTCTGATGCTTCTCTCGGTTTTCCTCCTCTTCCCAGCACATGTTGTGAGAGGGGGATAGTTTAGAGCCAAAATATATCTGCGTAGAGGAAAGTGAAACTAAATGTGCTTATCAAAGGTAATATAACTGGGGAAATGAAAAGTGAAACTTCACCTGTATGTACGGTGGCTGTGGGGCTCTGGTCTGAAGTGCTACATATATTCAAGGGTAAAGAGTTTATGCTGGTTGTTCTTTGTCCTGTTTGCTTCTGAATTCTTTCAACTCTTTTACCTTTAATGCAGTATTTTTTTCACACTAAACTGTTTTGTGACAGTTAAGATCATTGTGTTTTGCTTCTGAGGGAATAGAATGGTTTGGGGGGTGATTAAAATGATATGCTGAAGGTTTTCCTGTCACCTGTAATTTTGATTAAATTATTTTGCTTAAATGAACATTTTAATTTTGAATAGATGCTGGCTGATTTCTGGTTAGTGAATGTAACTTCTGTCTTGTGCGCTGTGCACTGAAGCAGATGGCAGCAGCCTCGTTAGCTCTGTGCTGAGTGTGCTTGTGTTATTCTGCCTGTATCCACATAAAGCACAATGCTTTGCACTACTTTCTTCTTTAACATCAAGCACCAGGTAGCACTGACTACAAAGTCTCTTCTGGCTTTAGATTTATCTCTGTTCTTCCAGCAGGGAAAGCTAGGCATAAGGATTTGCCCTGATCTGGCAGAGAGCAGTAATGCTGAGCACAGAAAAGGGGCTCTGCTTGCCAGGCTGGTGTTAAGCCCCTCATTGGGGTCTCTTCAGCTGAGGGACTGTTAACAGGGGTGCCAGTGAGGGGGCTCTCCCAGCACCATACTGGGGTTAGTGGAAGAAGTGTGAGGGTTAAGCTATTGGGAATAAGAGGAGCAGCTGTGCTCCCTCTCAGCTGCCTTTGCCTTGTGGCTCCTCACTCTCCATATTTTGAGCTTTTGGATAAATGCTGCCATAATCAGATGAAAAGATTTCTGGGCTGCTTAATTTTTGTAGCTTGTAGTTTGTTCTCATTTTCAATACAGATTCCTGGCTCAGTCAATGTTTAGACCTATATAGTGAGCAGAATATTCAGAGGTCAGTAAAGAGTCAAAGCAGCAGCCAACTCTTGTTTTGATTTAAATAGCAAAAAGGGTGATTTAACCTGTGAACCTCCTGATTTCCAAACAGCCTTATTCAGGAGAGCACTCATTTGTTTTCCTCAATGGTGGGTGATTCTGGGAAGCATTTCTTTCATATTGTGGAATACAGGGGTTAAACAGATTTTTTTTTTTTTCTAAAAAGCTTTCTTATTTATATAGATATGTGATTTGGAGTGATGTTCTTTTCTCTTCTGTGCACTTCTTCAGGTTGTGAATCAATCTAAGAATGAACAACTCTAAGAAACCATATGCTGACCAGCCTACAAACCTGGAAAGGTTCAGTCCTGAAATTCTTTCTGAAATTGAGCAGCTCTTTGAAAAGAAGTTTACTTATGCTAAGCCAGTGAATAATGAATGGCATCTGCCAGATCCCAGCGATGCTTTTACGTGTGATCACAAGGAATTCAACTCACTCCTGGCTCTGAAAGACTCGATGAATGACGTGAAGAATCAACTGAGTGATAAGAACCTGGATGAATGGCATCAACACACCTCACTTACCAATAAAGCAGGGAAAATAATTCCTCATGTGAAGAAATGTTTGAATGCAGAGCTGTGTACCCAGGCATGGTGCAAGTTTCATGAAATCCTGTGCAGTTTTCCTCTTCTCCCTGAAGAAGCTCTTCAGGATGGAGAACTGAATTCTGTCCACCTCTGTGAAGCACCTGGAGCTTTTATAGCCAGCCTCAATCACTATTTGAAATCCCACCGTGTCCCTTGCGACTGGAATTGGGTAGCTAATACTCTAAACCCGTACCATGAAGCAAACGACACCCTTACGATGATCATGGACGACCGTCTTATAGCAAACACGTTGCCTTGGTGGTATTTTGGCCCGGATAACACAGGAGATGTGATGACATTGAAACATCTAACGGGACTTCAGAACTTCGTTAGTAATATGGCCACGGTTCACTTGGTAACTGCTGATGGCAGCTTTGATTGCCAGGGAAATCCGGGTGAACAGGAAGCTCTAGTCTCACCCCTTCATTACTGCGAAACCGTCACTGCTTTAATGCTCCTGGGCACTGGAGGATCCTTTGTTCTGAAGATGTTCACGCTGTTTGAACACTGTTCTACCAATCTGCTCTTTTTGCTAAACTGTGCTTTTGAGGAGGTCCATGTCTTTAAGCCAGCCACTAGCAAAGCTGGAAACTCGGAGGCCTATGTGATATGTCTTCGTTATATGGGTAGGGAGAGCATTCATCAGCTGCTTTCTAAGATGATACAGAACTTTGGAACAGAAATGGTCAACAAAGCACTTTTTCCCCAGCATGTGCTACCAGAATCTTTTCTTAAAATACACGAAGAGTGTTGCATGTTCTTCCACAAGTGCCAGGTAGAGACTATCTCTGAAAACATCAGTCTCTTTGAGTGCATGAAAGAAGCAGAGCAGACAAAACTGAACCAGTTAAGAGACTGTGCAGTAGAGTTCTTCATGCAGAGACTTCATATGAAACCCATTGCTAGAAATAACTGGCTTGTCAAGAAACCTCAGATTGGTTGCAGCATGAATGCAAAATGGTTTGGGCAAAGAAACAAGTATTTTAGTACGTACAATGAAAGGAAGATGCTGGAAACCCTGACATGGAATGATAAAGTGGCAAAGGGCTATTTTAATCACTGGGCTGAAGAACACAGTTTAAATAATGCTGGTAAAATGTGCATCTTGGAAGGATCGTCTTCTAGCCTCGAGTGTAGCTTGTGGTACATTTTGGAAGGAAAAAGGCTACCGGTGGTAAAATGTTCTCCGTTTTGTGATGGTCAAGTCTTGGAAAATCTTAATGAAGCTATGAATGAATTGGTGAAGGGGAGGCTGAAAAGCCACCTAGTGCCGCAGGCTTGTCACTCGTGTGAGGTTCTTCCTGGGGAACTGATACTGGCAGAAGTATCTGATCTTTCCAGGAATCATCAGGAAGTCCCAAGCGAAAGATGTAGTGACCAGTTTAAGTGCCTTGTGGTGGACTTTCCATCCCTCGGGGATGCTGAAAGCCAGCCCAGTATGGAAATAAAGCTCCTGGACTCTGCCACACTGGTGACTTTCAGCTTCTCGTTGCTTTATGATGGAGAACCACAGTACCAGCAGCAGCTTTTGGAGTGTGTTCTGCGTTCATTGAGTCAGCTGACCGTGGGAGATGCGTTGATTTTGCCTATTCTTTCCTGTTTCACACGTTTCACAGCTGGCCTGGTCTTTATACTGCATTGCTGTTTCAGATGCATCACGTTTGCTTGCCCAACCTCCCAGCACCCGCTGAGGACCAGCACTGCTCTGCTGTGCATTGGATACAGGGGCCTCCCAAATCCTGTTGTTGAGTATCTGCAGCATCTGGATAAACTGATGAGCTCTTTACTAGACACGGACTCTCCCCAGCAAGTGCTGCAGTTTGTGCCAATGGAGGTTCTCCTCCAGGGCAAGCTGTTGGAGTTCTTGTGGGATTTGAACACAGCCATTGCAAAGAGACAGCTCCACTTGCTTGTGCAAGCTGAGCAGCAACAAATGACTAGCAGTGTTTCACTTTAGAATGATTCTAGAACTGAGCGAGTTGCTGCTGCTAGACCTTGTTTCACAGGCAGGTAGAAGGTGTTAAAAATGTTGTTAAGGTGAAGGTAATGTTTCTGTAGAACGTTGGTGTGATGCTGTTAGTGTTGGGAGGGTGTTTTGAGCTATCAATCCCACTTAGACCATATTGGCCTGTTGTATTGTGAGCTGAGACTTTCATCCCAGCCATGGGGGACTTGGGAGGGACAGTGATGGTAGAGGTTGAACCCTTTCCTCTGTCACAGCTCTCCCTGAGCAAATTTCTTGGCGTGCCATGTGGGTCAGAACTGTGGCTTTCATGGTGAGAGGTGGTACGGTGACTTACACCTCTTGTGTCAGGCCAGAGCATGGGGCATCCTGTGGTGTGACATGAGCCCTCTTCTGTGGAGTCAAACAGGAGAGTTTTGATACACCTGGCTTTGTGGAAGCTGAAAAGTGAGGTTTGGGCCAGAGTGCTCTGAGTGTGCAAGCCCTGAGGGTGAGTATCTTGTGAGCAGGCAGCTGTCTCACAAAGGCTGGGTTAAAAAAGACTGCCTGTAGGCAGCAGTGTCCAAGGAAAGGTGGTCTTTGGTTTTTATCTTGTCTGTCTGAAGAACAGCAGGCTCTGCATGGTTTCTGATGGATAGTTGTTTTACTTTGGCTCCCCATCAATGAATGGGCTGTTTTAACTGTGTTTATGTGGCTTATGGGTCCTCCTTAAAATAATTTGAGACTCCTGAGCTATTAATGAGGAAATGCAAATGTTTTTCAGGCTAAAAAACATGATCATGTGCAGATTTGTGTATCAATACAAGTGGTGCTTGGGCACCACTGCAGCAGCATTAGGCTGAAGAAGTACATGATAACTTTGGAAGAGTATGGTTAAGATTTCTGTTGGTTCCCCCTAAAGATAAAAGTGATGCAACTGGTAACTGGGTGTTGATGTAAGGGAGTCAAATCTTATTTTCCATGTCGCTCCTTCAAGAGCTACATTTGGAAATCTAACTTATGTATATTAACATACAGCTTGAAATTTGTGGCACACATGGAAAAACCTGCTCAGTGAGGGAAACAATGAAAGGAAAACTGGCTTTGCTGTTGATATGTGCAAGATCTAGTAGAAAGAGTTTGAAAGAGTGGGGTTAGAAGAAAAATGGGAGTCTCCTGATTCATTACCAGTCACCTTCTGGAAGCTCTCCTAATTTTATGATGGGGAAGCTTGAAGGATAATTGATTACTGGTGAGGGATTAAAAGGATTGCTGAAAAACTGTTTTGTCTGCAGGTGCTGCACATTTAATAGCCTTTCTTGCCATGTTGATTTAGGCAGAGTTTAATGCATTTAACAGTTTATTTTTTATTTAACAATTTGGTAGGTGAATTAGTTGGTGGCTCAGGTCTGAGTAATTCATAACATTTTCTAAAAATCTTCCTTTTTAGGGTTGTCTGTAAGCAGAAGTCTAACAAAAGCTTCTGGGATTGGTCATTGTCCATTTTAATTTATTTAAATGAAGTTGGTCTTTTTACTGTGAGCTGAGTCATGCTTCCTCTCTCAGACCAGGAAGGAACAGGCTGCAGATGGGGAGATTAATGCAGTAAGAGCTTCTCCTGTAAATCATTTTTTTGAACCTGTAAATTCCAGTGTGCAAGCAGGGCCACAGCTGACTTTGGGGAATAAAAAAATACAGCACTGGAAACCAAAATAAAGAAAGGGCAAAAAATATTGTAGAAGAACAGATGACAAGACAGTGTCAAAGATCACCTGTAAAAGCCTTCTTTATCTGAAGCAAAAAGCAGGATAAAGGTCTTGTCCACCAAAGACACTCCTGTGCCTCTGCCACTGTTTCAGAGGTGATTAATGCTTCTGAAACACCTCCTGAGTGAAGTACTTGAGAAGATGTCTCTTAAAGGAAAGGTAAAAGAGATCTCAAGCACATGGGTGTGCTTACACTGATACTCCACTGTGGAGGCATGAGTAGCGAGAAGCATCTCACCTAGTAGGTACTTGGTTTTTTTCATACTAACATTAGTGTAATATTGTTAAATTATAATTTTATAGGCAAAGTAAAATCCTGAGGTGACTGACAGTGAAAGAAAATGCATTTATTTTTTCTAGCTTTCCTTGGTCTGCTCTGTACATCTGACAAACTATGCAGACATCCTTGAGATTCCTCCTGCCCTATTGTTGTTCCCTGTGTCATCAATCTCCATTCAAAAATTTATATTCAGGAGAAAACATTTGAGATGGTGACAGAGCTTTGGGGGAGTTAGGACCATGTACTTCCAGATACACTGGACTGAGCTGGTAGGGAAATATAATCCATCTGCTTGGAAATACCCCCAAAAAAATGTGGGTGAGCTACTTTGTGGAAAGCCAGATCTCTAAATCAAAGGAAATTCAATGCCCTGTGCATTCTGATGCCTGGTTTGCTCTGGAGTGTTCTTGTTTGCTAGCAGACATGGGGAGATGACAGGAGAAATGCTTTGACAGCAGCTGCCCCTGTTAGAAGGATGTGGTTTTGGAGAGGTGGGGGTTTATTTTCATGATTGTTGTTGTCTTAATGGCAGGAGTTTCAAAGTTAGAAGTGACACTTGTCCTTTTAATTGTGAGAACCCTGCATTGTCCTAGCTGTCTTTAGACCAAAGATTTCTGAGAAATGACACTCTAATTTCTGTTGTGACTTTTGGAATATATGTAAGAATGCATGGGAAGAATGTGTTAACCTTTGTGGAGAGGGTCTGATGCCTCCTGCCTTCATCAAGGCTGTTGGGTTTTGGCCAATTTGATCAATTTGATTTGATTTTAGATGACACCTGAGGAAGTGTCTCAGTACCCTGGCTGCTCTTAAGTTTTTTTTTTTTTTTTTTTTTTAACCTGAGGATGAACTGAGTCTTTTTCATTATGGGGAGCTTGAAGTTTCACACAGGGGAAAATAGAGGGGATAGAGAGAAAAAGTTGGGTATGATGTGATGGAGATTCACACAAGTTTGAGGTAAACTTAGTTTTACAGCCCTGCTGTTGCAGGGTTCTGATGATGGGCCAATATCTAGGCCAGTGATTAGCTATGAGCTACATTATTTTTCTGAAACTTGTGTTTGAAGCCAGCATAACATTTTGAAATTGGTTGCAGGAGGCTTGAATGAATTAGATCCTCAGCTGAGTGAAAATGCTGATTTTTCTTGAGTTCTGTAAAAGTTAAGAGACTTGCTACTTATTTTTTCCAAAGTTTGTATTGTATTTAGATTCATTTGGATGTGCACAGATTGTGTGTGTTCTTGCCACTGGCTTTCCAATTTAATTTCTATGAAACATAATGAGATTTATAGTATGAAATCCAGTAGTCTATTAAAACGATACTAATTGGTGTCTATTCATCTTAATTTAAGCTGGATCTATCAAATTACTGGTTGTTAAAGTAGAATATGTAGCAAAATTGCATTTGATTAGAAAAACAACTTGGAACTTAACATTGAAGGATTAATACTGCCTATGTAGAAGGTAGGAGGAAAAAAAACCACCTTGATTTCTGACCTAAAGCTAGAGTGCCTTAGGATGCAGAATAATGTTGAGTCATTGATTTGCTGGAAGTGAGGGTTGACAGGAAGCTGAAGCTTCAGAGTCTTGTAGCCTCCTCTTCCTACCCCTAAAAAACTGTCTTTTGCCAGCTCTTTGATTTACAGCTGATTTAATTCTGAACGGTGAAGTGGGGGAGATCTTGTGTAAATTGTCTATAACCATTTTCGGTGGTATGAAATGTGTTTGTTGAGCAGTACTTGTCCTGATTTTCCACTTTTAAACCAGAGCCTCTAAGTTTCACCTTGTAGCCTTTGAATATCAATCTTTTCTTTGAGCACTTCAGTGAGTGAAGGCTGAGATGAAAGTTTCCTTGCCAAAGTCTGGTAATGGTTTTTCCGTCTTGTTTTTTTCAACTGTTTTAGTGAATGCCATGTTGATAGCCATAGTTGCAGTTCTTTGTGCTCCAGCCACTTGACAGAAAGATCAAATGGAGCTGTTTATGCTGGAAAAACGCTTGGCCTGTGGCTGTTCACTGCTTACTCTTTAGATAATAATTTGGATTGCCATCGAGCCCTCTCTTGTGACTCCTCATGGGTCCAGAGCTGATTTCAAGTCTTCAGAATTAAATTTGCTAAAAGAATTACCCGGTAGCTGTAGACACTTGTGCTTCTAACAAGCAGAACCTTTAGGAGACATTTAAATGCAGGAAACTTTTCCACCAGCCAGGAGAGGCTCATCTAACATGCAGCTGGTGGGATTTGCCAGCCCTGCCTTGTTAAAATCCTTAAAAAAAGGATTTGAGGCGTAACCACCTGAACAAACAGTTCTTGTACACATGGGTATGTTGGTGTTTGCTTGTGGAAACCACCCCCAAACTGTACAGCCATGAAGTTTTTGCTTTGTCACTAATGCAAGTCTGCTGTTGTTTTGAAGGATGTGTATTTTTTTTCTAAGCAGATGAAGGGATGTTGATTTATGTGGCTATCATATATTTTCATCTGATCTGCAAATAAGTGTTAAGACCTTTTTAAAAGAGGAAAATAAATTTATTTGGAGAAAAGTTCTTTTAGGTTTTAAATGTTGCTATTTCCATGTTGTTGTTTTTTTTTTTTTTAGCAAACGTCAAACAAAAAAATGAAGCACAGCAGGGAGAAGTCTGGGGAGGTTTAATATTTCATTTTTTGGAGCCATGGTTTCCTCATCCTGCCATCGGGATCCATCCTTAATGTGTAGAGGATGCAGGATCATTGGAGCAGCCTGCTCAGTGTGGATGGTGTTTGGTTCTCACTTTAACTGTCTTTACCTTCGCATTTTACCAGCTCAGAGAGAGACCTGGGTTGGAAACGTGGTCACAGCAGCATGTGGGAGGCCTGCACAGAGTCCCCTTGGCCTTGTCACCGAGCCCTACAATCCACATCCCTTGTGTGGTTGCTGTAACCTGCTTTAACAGCGAGGATTTTGTCTTGAGCCCCTTCAGTTTCTCCTGGC